TACCAGGGCTTGCTGGGTATGTGTGGCAGGGGACAGAGGGCAGGCATGGCAATCTGGCCATGTGGTGGGAGCAGCCCTTTACTTCTAAACCAGCAGAGGAGAAGTAATGACTATGAGCTACTATAGACTCGTCCCACCTTGTCCTGCAGTGGCCCATGAGCGACCGCTATAATGTCAAAGTACTCTCCTCCAATTAATTTTTCTGAATAGCTCAAACTTGGCTCATGCCCCACTGACAAACTAAAAGTGGGACAAACTGGGGATGTTGACAGTGCTGGGGGTTAGTTGAATATATCAAATTTGGATGTAACTTTTCCACCTCTCTTGCTAAGTAAATATAATAAGGACAAAAAGAAGCTGAAGTTGGGTCTTACGGTTTCATGCTTAGTCTTTAAATAGTCCTGTATAGTCTGTTCTCTCTGGCAACGGTCTTTGGATTTCAGTAGCGACATATCCATAGATGCATATTTTTTAATAAATTTTAAGCCAATTATGACACACTGACTATAATAATAAAAAAAAAAAAGCCTTTCATATGCATTGAGTAAAAGCTTTAGAAAAATGGGAGACTGTGGGTAAAGTGGGACATGCATCACGATGTGGGACAGAGGGACAAGGAATAAAAAGGTTTTGCAATACCACTTAGAGAGGCACATGTGGATCGGTGGATTAGTGATAGATGAGAGGAAGTTGTTGTAAAATCAAGAACCAAAAGAAATGTAATAACATTTTTTAAATTAAACACACTGTAAATTTTCCATTGAGATAATGGAATATTTACTGGACATGTGCTGGATTTTTATATTTCCAGTTATAGTTCATTTATTTTTATCCCAACTAGTAAGTGGTAACATCGGACACTGTAGGACCTAATATTTCTATGCTTATCGGCTCTTTGAGTCTTTGTTGGTTAATTTTGATCATCTGCAGCATTTAAAAAAAATTATATTATTCTCTTTATTGCACATACATGCATCCACACACTCATTACTGTCAGTATTAGCCGGATGGTGTTTTCTGATCCTCAGAGGATGTGTGATCCATTTGGTAAAACAAAACAACAGATTGCATTCACTCATTCAATTACTGTTACCTCATTTATTTAATTCCTATTGCATTCATTTTAAAACAGCATCTTGAGAATATAAATGATCTCCAAAGCAAACACTTCAGCACTTTTACTAACATGCCTACAAAAAACATAGAACATGACCGCTGTCACACAGAGGAAAAAAATGGCAGTTAACCAAAATTAATTATGGGTGGAAATTTTGGTGAAATTTTATTTGGGGTAAAAAAAAATCTCAAAGTCAATTAGTCACATATTAGAATGAGTAATACTAAGAGCTTGAGCCACTGCTAGGAAGGGATAGAGCAATGTTTTGGTTCCATATTTTGTGCCATGCAAGAGCCCATTTCCAACCATTTTAAACTGTATTTGATTGATCTTTAAGAATCCCAAAACTGAGGAGTACTGTGAAACTCTAGCAAAGGCTGACTGATTAGAGTAGATGTCAATTCACTACTATTAGCTAAATTGACTCGTTTTGTTAAATCTTTTCATCTGTTAATTTAGAAATAACTAACCAGATGCCCAGCATTCCTAATTTGAAAATGTTAACAATAGCGGTACAATCAAATAAAAAATGTTGACATGAAAAACAGAAAAGAAATAAATCCGTCTTCAATGTCAAACAGGCTTTGGGATCTTGTTTGTGGTTCAATGAGTCAGTTTAATTGAAGGCCTGAACAGTACGTGCCATGTGAGTAACAGAAAAACTGGTCTGGTGCCAGTGAAGAAAATCCAGTCCAGCTTAGTTTCCCATAAAGTTATGTTAGTTACCATCTACACATGCAATATGTTAGCCCACATGGCTCTAACTTGATTCTCTATCACACATTCATACATGAGCACTCCAAACTGCCGGTGCTACAGGAGTTGTTGTGCTGGGAACACACCCTCATGGACAGGAATAACAGGCCACTCCAGAGCGTGAGGACACAGGAGACACAGTGGCACCATACAAGCGTGAAGACTCTTTAACGTCTCCTTATCTCCATCCCTAAGCCTCAGTCGGCTCACCATCCGCTACTGTTTACACCAACCACAAGTCAAGAGTAAAAGCAGAAAATGGACTTTCTTAATTTTGAATGGCTAAAGTCCACTAGAAAGCCATTGACGAAGATCTCTAGTTTGAAGGGAGCCTCGTATTGAATAAGGATTGAAATTTACATGACAACTTAGGAAAAATGCTTTTTTATTACTCATTCATCCCCTAAATCACTTTGCACCCCCACTCTTTTCCTCTGCCTGAGCTATTAAATCACCATCTTGACCCTGCGACCTGGGGCCGCAACCATAAAGAGCCCCCTGTGGGTCAGAGGCCTGATTGTAACATTTGAATATGAAATGGACTTCGCTGGGCGTGGAAACAGCTCCATGCGCTGAGACACAGGCTGACCCCCAGGAGAGAGGCCTGCCTCAGCAGCTACGGGCCTGGAGGCTCCCTCTTCTCTCAGCATGGATTTACTTGGACTTGAGAAGGAGCGAGAGACAGAGAGAGGGCTGAAGTCGGGGGTGGAGGGGAAGGGGGGGGGCAGATCGGGGGCGAAGCAGGCTAGGGGTTGAGAGAGACTGAGGGAGAGGAGAAAGAGAGAGGGCAGACATTTGAATAAGACAAGAAGCAAGTGGTGTTTGCATGACAAAGGAGCCCGCCATCTCCCCTGATTGGTGTCACAGCGCTGCACTAAAGCCATGCAAGCCCCCCGGTGTGGGGTGATGTGTGGAGCACAGGCATGTTTATGCATCCAAGGTGTGATATTAGGCAGGAATAGCAGAGGCCCGTTGTCAAGTTTCGGGCTGGGAAATTTGTGCGCATATCCTTGAAAGGAGAAGAAGTTTCCAGATCACCTTTTCTTTTTAAAAGCCGTCTTGAAACTTGAAGAAACAAGAATGGGAGGAGAATTAATGGATACATCCAGTTATGAACAATTAAAAATGTTGTTTTCAGCTGTTGTTTTTTTTCTTATCACATATACATACTGAGATGCTGTAATCTGACCTACATTGTAGACAAGCTGTAAATAAACCAGCAGTATTACCATTCAAAGGGAAATTTAAGAGGTTTGCATGTGCAGGGAATGGAGTTAAAATTGGCCCTAAAATGTAGGCAGTTTGGTGTCATTATTTACTTTTTTCTTTTCTTTTCAAATAAGTTTGCTGAAAGTTGTGTGACTTTAATGAGTTCTACCCTCAGCAATTATATATAATATAATTTTACAACTTTTAAAACATAAAATGCCCAAAGCAATGTCATCATGCCACTAAACAATTGTACTTTACTTTAATCCTCAATGGGACCCCATTAGGACCCTTTATATTTTCTAGAAATAGACTGTTATTAAAAGTTTTATTTGTTTTTTTCCTTCTTGTATGACAGATTTTTTAAAATTAAAATATTATTTATTATTATCCATCATTTTTTATGCAAAGAAATGACATTTATTCAGAGGGTCTTTGTCTGTCAGTTCTGATTAATTCATTTTGAAACTTTAGGCATGTTCAGAGGAAATTATGTATTAGAGTATGCTACTACCATTTAAACATCAAAATGTACGTGACAAATCTGCAATACTTACAATGACGTCATCATGGTCAGAGTGCTTTAGGTACGTTCTTATGTTTAAAATAAAAAAATGTATAATAATTAAAACATTCAAAATAGTTTCTGCAGCGCTAAATCTTCTACTCTTTGTCCATCAGCTCGCTGGCTGACATTACAAAGTATTGATTAGAGGTGGAAAATTGTAACAAAATCATTGTAAACAAAATTGTAACAATCATCAAAAAACCCAAAAAAACCCATGAAGAAGAAGCTGTAGGAGAGCAAAGCTAATTAATGGTAGGAACATCACATTACAAACATCAGCAGCCTCTTGAAGGTAAAGG